CGGGCCGACACTCGGCAACAGGCGATTCGCATCGTACAGAAGCTTCACCGCAACTTGGGCCATCCATCGACCAAGGAGCTCACCGAACTGCTGCAGACGCGGGGAGCGTCCGAAGAAGTCCTGAAGGCGGCTCAATCCTATGTGTGTGCGGCCTGCGCCAAGTACAAGAAGCCTGCAGAGGCCGCTCCGGCTTCACTGCCACAGTCGACGACCTTTAATCAGCAGCTTCAGGCGGACATCTTCTGGCTTCGCCGTGGCACCGTCAAGTATGCCATCCTGAGTGTGGTTGACACTGCTACTCGGTACACGGTCGCCCGACTGGTCAAGTCCGAGCAATCCACCGAGCTGATCAAGGCCCTTGAACGAGGTTGGATCGCCCACTTCGGGCCCCCGCAACAACTGGTCACTGATGAAGGGCGAGCCTGGCTTGGACATGACTTCAAAAACTGGACAAGCATCCACGGTGTTGAACACATTGCGGCACCCGGAGAAGCTCATGAACGCCTGGCCATCGTCGAAACGCGACATGCAGTGCTTCGCAAAGCCGTTGAGATCTACCTCGACGACCTCGATCATGCCGACGGTATCCGTGAAGCACTGACCTATTGCATTCCTCAGCTGAACAGCGCTCCAAGCGTTGCTGGTTTCTCGCCGTCGCAATGGGTGCTGGGGTATCAACCTGAACTGGCGGGCAGTTTGCTATCCACCTCCAACTTCAGAGCATCACATGTTGGTGGACACCCGAGCTTCGAGGAGACCCTCAACAAACGGGCTGCAGCTCAAAAGGCTTTGGTTGATGCTGATGCTGACCGCCGTCTTCGACGTGCTCTTGGAGCAAAATACAAAGGCCTGAACTCAGAGTACCAGATGGGTCAACAAGTATGGTTTTGGCGTGATGCCAAGCAGCCCGACCTGGTAAAGATCAGATGGCTTGGCCCAGCTCACGTCGTCATGAAGGAGTACAAGAAGGAGGGTGATGATCAAAGAGTCAGCGTCTACTGGCTGGCCTACAAGTCCCAGCTGATCCGCTGTGCCCCTCACCACATCCGAGCTCATGTCAAGAACACCGGACACATCCTCGATGACGTCCAGAAGGCCCTCAACACTGTGCGCGCTCTCAAATCCAGAGGCGTCACAAGGTTCTATGATCTACATCGCCTGAACCGCCAAGAGCTCATGGATGTGGAAGTGGACGAACATGCTCAGTCCACTGATGGTGAGTTGATGGACGACTCTGATCACGAGATGTCACCACCTCGACAGAGACCCCGGTTGTTGCCACCAAACCCTGTGTCTACTGCAATGCCCGACGTGAGTGTTGAAGAATACATTCCCTCATCTCCTCCGTCAGCGGCAGCCACACCAACAGCGGCAGCAGCAGTCGTACCGGCAGCAGCAGACACGGCAACGGCAGATACACAACCGCACGCCACAGCAGATGTCGGGCTTCCTCGCGTGCCGAGCTCTCTGGCTTCGCTCTCCGAACCTAGCGAGGAACCTCCAGCACGATCCACGGCTGAGACACCTCATGCATTACCACCGCTGGATCCGCGAACGGCAACACTCTATGAGGCACCATCTCATCCAGAGACATTTGAGGAACGACGTGCTCGCATTAACAAGCAAGAGACTTTGAGTTTTGCACCTGTACGGCATCGCACCGCTGAAGCAGTGGAACCCTATGCTACATCCAGACCAACCTCAAGCACCGATGATGCTCTCACTGGTCAGGTCTTCTACATTGATGACATTGACACCACCCTGCTTCCAAGTGGTTGGCGTGTTGATGAGCAGGGATTTCTGCAACTCACAGATCGCAGCACTGATTACTGGGAGGTGCGAGCCGGTTGCCTGATTCGACATCATGTGGTGCCACGCAGGGGTCGATTACCACTGCGTCAGCTGCCGCAGGACTGTCCCGTGACCGTCGACAAATTAGACAAGATCCGAGTGACCTCGGTCCATGGAGCCAATGGAAAAGGAAGACTCTACACGGATGATGGCACTGACAGTACCTCACCTCCTGATGTCTCTACGTCCTGGACTGGCGCCACGATCTACCAGATCAATGGAGAGACCCGGAAGGAACTGGCTATGTACAGCGGCTCTCATCAAGCCTTCACCAGTGCCAAACAACAAGGAAAAGAACAGAAGGCTGCAAAGATGAAGAAGTTCAAGAAGAACAAGGCCGATGTCAACGAGCGCCTCCTGGGGCCTCATGAGAGAGCCATGTTCAAAGAGGCAAAGATCAAGGAGTTGAAGAGCTTCTTTGACCACCACGTGTGGACCTTCCAGACTGTGAAGGAGGCTGATCCGGTCCGAACACTGTCTTCCAGGATCTTGCTCAAATGGTCCAGGAACCCCGATGGCACTCCACGTGCCAAAGCACGTCTCATCGTGCGGGGCTTTGCCGACCCGGACGCTCTTGCCGGGAAGATTGAGACCTCCAGCCCTACGACCACGAGGTTGTCCCGCTCTATGGTGCTCTCCCTGGCTGCAACTATGGGTTGGTCTACATGGACCGCCGATGTCAGCACGGCCTTCTTGCAAGGTCGCGAACAAGACCGCAAGCTCTGGGTGAAGCTACCGGCTGAGGCACTGTCACTGCTGGGCGGCGATGAGAACACTCGCATGCTCCTGTTGAAGCCCTGCTATGGACAGATAGATGCTCCTCGTGGCTGGTTCTTGGAAGCCGTGTCTCGACTAAAACGAGGAGGTTTGAAACAGCATGCACTGGACCCTTGCGCCTTCCTGATCTATGAGCTGGACGATGAGCACTATGACCCGGCCGATCCCGTGCACACTGAAGTGAACGCCCTGGGGGAAAGACGCCTTGTGGGCATGGTCATCATGCATGTGGATGATCTCCTTGGTGCCGGATGCCTGAAGAGTCCTCGATACCAAGCCGTGGTGAAGCAGCTCAAGTCCAACTTCTCCTTCAGAGAATGGAAGGAAGATCAAAAGATCTTGGAGTACTGCGGCTGCGAGCTCGAGAAACTGGACGATGGCGGCACTTGTCTCTACCAGACAAAGTATATGGAGAAGGTCAAGCCCATCTCGATGGACAGGAAGCGCTCTCCAGCCGAATTGTTGAAGGAGCGAGAAATCACTCAACTTCGTGGGCTACTGGGTTCATTGCAGTCGCCTGCAGTGCAGACGGCTCCCCATCTACAGTGCAGCACGTCGCTGTTTGCTGGCCAGATTTCCAAGGCCACGGTGCAGACCGTTTTGGACTGCAATCGGCTCCTCAAGTTTGCCAAGGACAACAAAGATGTTGGCCTACAGTACCGGCACATTGGTTCTCCTTCGGACCTTAGGCTGCTATGCTTCTTTGATGCTGGCTTTTCAACCAGAAATGATGGCAGCTCCCAGGGTGGCTATGTGCTGATGATGGTCAACGGCAAGCTAATGGAGTCTGATGAGGAGGATTTCTACCACATCCTGGACTGGAAAAGCTTCAAGACTCCCAGGGTGGCCCGCTCGTCTCTTGGAGCGGAGGCACAAGCCGGTGGGCAGGCGAGCGACGCCACGGACTTCGTTTGCAGGTACTGGCACCATCTCCTTGAGCCTGACCTGCCCCTCAAGAACCTGATGGAAGTACAATCGTCCCTTCGCCCGGTCATGGTGACGGACGCCAAGGCATTGTATGATGCCTACCATCGAGAAGCCACAAGTTCCTCGGTCGTGGACAAGCGAGTCAGCCTGGAGATCAGGGTGATGAAGGAAAGGCTTCAAGAGCTTGGCGGGCTCCTCAAGTGGATGAGCTCTGACCGTCAGGTCGCCGATGGCCTCACCAAAGAGGCCGCCAGAGGTCTTTTCGCCACCCGGTTGAGGCACCATCGCATCAAACTCACCTGGGATCCGAGCTACACCGCCATGAAGAAGAAGACAAAGAACGAGAAGCTGTCAGCGTCGGCGGAAACCACTGCCAACCATGCTGGGTTCACTGCCCCGGTTCCTGAGGCACCTCGCTCTGGACATGAGGTGAAAGAGTTCCCGCTCCGCCAAAGAGATTGATGAGAATGTCAACGGTGGCCCGGAAGAGAATGCCCTGTTTGTTGCGAACCACCTCCCTCTTGTGTATGTGTACGCCACTAGCCATGTCGCACACCGCAACTCCAATGTCAACAAGAGTCGCATGAAGAATGTCTTGTTTTGGCTCATGTTGATCATGATGGTGAACTCATGCCGAGCAAGTTCAGACATGTGTTGGAGCAATGGCACCGAACACACGGAGCACACGGAGGACCTTGGTTTGCTGTTCATGGGGATTGCGCTGATCCTCATGGTGGGGCACCTATGTCTGTGGCTATGCTGCAGGCGCCGGGCGACATTCGCCCATGTGGGAGTGCAGAAAGATGAGGCCTTGGTTCACCACCGACTTCGTGAACTGCTGGCCAGGGAAAAGGAGGAAAACCGGAATCACCTGCGAGCTTGTTTGGAAGCACGCCAATGTATGAGCCTAGCCCAAGCCGAGAACAACAACCTGATTGAGGAAAATGAGGGCTACAAAGCTTTGGCCAAAGATGGCGCAGTACTCATGCGCCGCCTCCTGGACATGCTGGACGATCACTGGCAGACATGCCCCCATGCCATCGACGTCATGGTGTCCAAGCAGGGCCAATGCTGGCATCGAGAGGACTGCCACCTGGTAGAACAAATGGTTCCAAGGAACCGCATGCTCGTGAGAGGGTGTAGCTACTGTGCCAACCGACACTCGCCTGTGGACAAGGCCAGCGTCGTGGTTGGAAGTTCTTTCTTGCAGCTCGGTGCCACAACCCGAGCTGAAGTGAATGCCTGGCTCGCCGACGTGGCGGGTTTTTGAAAGGCATGTTTCTTCAAGAACCACCGCCTGTGTGAAACGCACGCTGTGCATTTTAGGTGGAAACGGTCCTGAGCTTAGAACACCCCTTCCGACAGGGAGGGCTCAAGCGCCAAAAAGAGGCATGCGGCCGCGGCGACTCGTGTCGCCACCGATTCGCTTGTGGTGTCTTTACACCCTACTCCAGTGGGCTTCGTCTACTACTGGTTTCTTCGCTGTTTCTTTTGGAACGACTCCGAGTCACACACAGTAGCCCATGGAGCGTGTGGCTAATGGGCTCCATGCGAATGCAGTAGAGCTCCCCACCGGGCACACAACATGGGCCCTCCAGCGACAAAGGTGAAGGACCAAGACCCGCTTCAGCAAAAATGCGGCAGAGATCATACTCCTTCTTGGCAAAATCATCCAGCATCACTTTCACGACCTCCCCAGTCTCCTCCAGGGGTTTGGTCGTAGCATGTCGTAGCTTGTCGTTGCATACCTGCCCCCACAAAAAAGAATGCTTTGGGAAAGCCTATGAACTATCAAACTATTACTGTAACTATTATCATCTATTATCCTTCGTCTTGAAGCGTTGATCGACGACTCTGAGGTGTCCTCCTCTAGGAAGACAATGCCAATGAAGCCGCTGCCCAGCACACGTAGTGCGCCAGACGGGCAAAGCAGAGAGGAAGGGGACAAAGAAGCCACCGCACGGACCGGATCGAAGGCGTTCTCTTCCATCCTGGAGCTTAAACAATCAGAACGCATGGGAATTGCGTCATATAGTCGCAAACACTGCCATAGTACTCATCCCACATCATGTAAACTGTTGCATTCATGGTTCGAAGCATTTGGGGTGTGTGGAGCTTGGTGCTCTGGACCCAAAGCCTCTTTCAGCCGTCAATGAAGTCTTGTCAACCAAGTGGCACGTCTACCGCCATGCGCGCTAGCTTCTGATCCGAGAGGGGCTTTCCACTGCAAGATGCTCGTAGCCGCAGGAGCGCTAGCAAGGTCGTTGGAACCCGGGCTTCGACCAGCTTACCAGAGACTTTGTCTCTATACTTCACAATCTCCGCCTCTAAACAAGCAACGCCTCTGGAATGTCCAAGGCATTCCAACATCGCAAAGGTGGGAGTCGACGGGCGGGTGTTCATGACATGAACATGAACCGTCTGCCAGGTGTCATCTATGGCCACTGCAGAACCAAAGGTCGAAAAATTCAACAAACAGTCGGTCTGGACCCCAAAGGGTTTCCCTCTCGACAAAGGATTCGGGCAGCAGCAAAACAAAAGGTGGGATTCAGCTGAAGGGATCCTCAAATTCCAGGCATTGCAGAATAAACATGGCCAGGATGCTACTAGGTACTAGGAACAAGAAGCTACTAGGGGCTCAAGGGCAGGACCATGCAGGACCCATGCAGAAGCACAAGAATTGAGTTGCGCAGGTTATTTAGGGAAAACGTCTCGCACCGTCCGTCAGGTCCATCAGGTCCGTCAGATCCGTGGCCGGCGGTGGAAGGCCGGAGGCTTTTCCGTGGGATGACAGGACGACTTGAATGGGGGCTGTATGAAGTATGAAGTAGGTGCCCTGATCCTTGAGATTGAAACCTCAAATGAACCTTTTTGCAACGCGTGCTCTGAAGTCACCTGAACTCAGGCAGCTGATGCTACCTTTCAGAGGATTTGGGAGCGCCTTTTCGGAAACAAAGGCAGCATGGCTGTTTGTGGCTGCATGGAAGTGTGTTCAGGTGCACCATGCGAAACATGCGACTACATTTGCACTGGAACTAGGGGAAGCAAAAACCAACTCAAACAGCTAAGGCAAACGAAGCGCCCAAAGCCCCCTTTGTGCCTGGATCGCTTTGGAGTGGCACAGGGTCTTCTCGATCCGCTGGCGTGTGAGGCGAAGCTCTCCATCCCCTTTGACACATTTCACCGGCAGCCGCGGCCGCGGAGGTGTTTCATCCTGGCTTCTCGAGGGCGGAGACTGGGAGCCCTCATGGTATTGGTGGTTGCACCGTCTCCGGGGTACATCGCCAAAACGGCTCATGTTGGCCGATGGCAAGTGGAATGCTGGCCACAACTGCGGTGGCTCGGGGCGGATAATGGTGAAGCTATATATACACTATAATATATATATATATAATATCCTTTGGGTTGATAGGCAAGCGTGGGAAACGAGAGCACAGCATCAGCTTGCTGCCACGTGCCTGGGCCTTTTCTTCTCGTTCTTGCGGCACTTTGCGCACTGTGGCTTGCAAAGCACTGCGCAACTCCTCTTCCACGCTATCCTCCGATGTGAAGGCTGACTGCACATGCGTTAGCAGTGGCTGAAGAACAAGTTTCATAAACCCAAAATTCACTCCATTCAACCAATCTGAGATGATCTGAGCGTCTGAAAGGACTTTCCCTTTGAAAGTCTGCAGTATTTCCAGGAAGCGGTCAACGTTGTCCACAGCGACCGCTTCGAGCCTTCGGCACTTGCCAGGCCGCTCCTGAAAACAAACCTTGAGGACCTGGACTCTTTGAAAACCGTGTAGTAGAAGGTCTCCGGTTCTTTTTCATCTGTGGTACTACCATGAAGTACCTGTCCTGTGCCAGCTCCAACCCCCAAAACAAAGCAGCTGAAAGCTAATCTGATGCGCGACTAACCATTCAAAACTCAAGCGGACCTCAGCTGAGTGTGCAGCATCCCGCTTGTCAGGCGTCTCACTTTCCACAACTTCTGGCATCTGTGCCGACCTTATGTGAGCACGCGAGTGCCCCCAGCCTCCCACCAATGATACTTGCGCAACGAGTCCAGCGCCACCCAATGGCCCTTTCCTTTCAGGGGTGCCCTGTGTTAGTGTACACAATGGCAACTACAATGGGATCAGGAAGTCGACACCCAAGACACCAGGACGACACCAGAGACCCGCAGAACCAAAAGAGTTGTCCAGTTGTCCAAGCAACTTGTGCTGCCAAGCTTTCGCAGTGTCATGCTGCAGATCCATGAAGGCCTGGGAACAGAAAGGCGTGTCGTGTTTGACGCGACAAGAGGCGCAGTAAATTGGCCTGTAGACAGCTCTCGTTAAAGCCGGCCACGGTCAACGCCGCACGGACTTCCTGCAGCTCTTCCTGCAACTTGGGCCATGTGGCTTTATCAGGTGAGGAGAATCTGGTCTTGCTGCCGAGGGCTTGCCTAAACTGTGACCATAGCATCTATAGCACGCTGATTCCTGCAATGCGTGTGATGTGGTTCAGCACTTGTGCGTGCATGTTGTAGAGTTGTCGATTGTGCTTGTAGTGAGAGCGCAGGTGCATCAAACGCCTTTGTCCTGCAAACATCTGTGTCCTGCAAACATGTGTCTACAAGTACAGTACATTGCTTCTTGCAAGGCAGGCTCTGTTTTAGCAAGACTGGTGGGCTGGTGTCAGCAATGGTCTAAATTCCCCAGCCTTTCAACAGGCAAATTATGAAAAGAGGCACAGCAAACAGAAACTCCCCAAAAAGAAACCTTCATGATTCCATTAAAAAAACAGAAACCTTCATGATTCCATGTTGGCAAACCGAAGTAGTCTTCTGCCAAAGCCACTGATGTCATGCCAGCTAAGCAGCGACAAGAGCGCACTCCACTCTGAGCAAGCACCATCTGGCAAATTGTGAAGCCACATGGCATCTGCAAGAAAGACCACTATCTACTCTTAGTCAAAAGTTTTACTCTCCCCTTGAGGTCAACGACGTGGTTTTGCAAATTGGCTGATTGACATGTCACGGTGCAACAGGGCGTGGCCTGTATCTGGACCAGCCCGGAATTTTGAAGTGACAACTGCAGTTTGGGCGACAGCTTCGTGACACTGGTGGGCACGTCTGCGGAGGATACGTCAGCATCTTCCTGAGCAGTGGACTCAACTTCAGGGTCCCCACAAATGCCTTCACAGTCCTCCAAGGCCAAAGCAAAGTGGTTGCGACATGTTGCGACATCACAGCCAAGTCACCCGAGCACCGCGAGCACTATGGCAGAGGTTGCGAAAGGCACAGGCATGGCCTGGGCCGAAGCCCGCCGCCCTCAGCCGGCCGCAGATCTCCTGAAGCTCTTCCTCATTGAGCTGCCCAAGGCCTTGGATGCAGCACAGCTCAAACCTCAAACGGCACGTGGTCCAGTTTGGATCAGAACTTGTTGGGATCTCTAAATTGAATGCCACATCTTGTTCGAGCATATTTGAATGACTCGGATATTTGATTCCATACTAAATCTATTGTCTCGTCGCATGTAGCAAGACACAATCAATTATCCAAAGGGCACGAGTGGTAAAGCTGACCTCTGCAAGCCTATTTTATGTTCACCCTCCTATATCTCTTACCAACTTGGTACTTGTACTGGTGGGAGTTCTGCCCAGAAATCACTGGACGTTGATATGCAAGGACACCTGGACACATTGAAATCTCGAATGCAGATGGCTCCGTCGCTTCATCTCTGGGCTCTCTGGGAAGGATGGATCCAGCTTTCGAAGCCAGCAAGCTTTGCCGGCGACGCTGTGCCAGGGCACAATGGAAGGTCAGAATGCCCAACTGTTCCAGAACAGAATGCAGGCTGGACAGGCCAGCACCTCTGAGGTGTTGAGTCAGCTTCTGAGATGTAACCTGCAGGCTCAAACTGTCAAAAAGAATCGCAGAAGTTGAAGAATCTGAGGCTGCGGCACCCTCTGTCTCTGGCACGGTGTCTTCCTCAGAATGCCGAACCATGTGGCAAAGCCCTCCCGCAAACAGCTCTTCATTCATGCTATCCCGAATGCAGCCAAGTCTCATGAATCATTGGTTGGCCGGGCCCAAGGCCCTAGCCTCAGCCCTGACCTCTAAATCCTAGTTTTGAGAGCTAACAAAGCCACGAGCATGCAAATTACTGGAAAACTTTGCACAATATCATGACATAGTAGTGGAGCCTCCTGCAAAGCAGCCAACATTCCAAAAAACCCGTCGCATTCTGAGAATTTTAAAATGACAGCCTACCGGATATTCTAAGCACAGCCTGTTGGACTTGCTGCACAAGCATGGGTTGTAAGCTCAATCCTGGTACCTTCACCTCAGCAAACATCGGGAATGATGCCACTGTCGGAAAATTGAGACTGGGCCAAGGCACTGCCGGGAATGGAGTCTGTTGGCACTCCAGTTCGGCATCAGCCCCCAGCATCTCCCTCGCCACCTGGCAAAGTCTACGTGGAAATTTGGACACTTGCAGGTTGCATCAGCTTTGAAATTCTCTGCTTGGTCGATGGTCGACTTTTGACATTTTTCAGGTCAGGGCCGAAAGTAACGCTTCGGCAGTGGAGTTGGAGAGCGGCTGATCATCTTCTAGGTCGGCAGCATTCACCGCGATGAAAATATCCTACCCGGTTAAAGTTGAAAGGAACAATTCAATGAATCAAGGAACAGTGGTCCAAAACGTTTGATTTCGGGTTGTTGAAGCCTCTCATGAAAGTCTACTTAAAACCGATTCAAACCATGTGGGCCAGCAATACTTACAAGCGAGCCCTCTAGAAGTCCACACCTGCCTTGAGCCCCGTCGGGGTGAAGCCAGCAAGGGCCTTAGTGGACTCAGCTCGTGGCGCTTTCAAGAGATCGGCCTTCAGAGATTCACAAAGCATGTTTTTACATGTAAAAAACTGCATTGTGAATCTCTGAAGGCAGATTTAAGCCTAATAGCTTACATTGCTCCTAGTAGTACTGCCAGGAGCCCCTAGGCCCTAGTAGCATCCTTGCTCCTAGTAGCGATGCCCTTTGCTCCTAGTAGCTTCTTGTGTTTCTCTGGAAAAGATCGGCCAAGATAAAGGCCATAGGCTTTGCAGCCCTTGCGGCTGTAGCATCCGCACCTGATTCGTCGCAGCCAACTCTCGGAGAAAACTCAAGCTGCCGTCAGCCTGGGCTACCCAGCTCTTGGCCGAATCTTCCAAGGCACATCTCATCATGATGCCAGCCTAGGTCAAGATCCCCCCCCCGGTTTAGGAGATGCCTGCAGAATCAGCCGGAGACCAACCGTAATCGAGGTCAGAACAACTTGCCGGGACAATCTTCGCCTCACAACTCTTGCTTTTACAAAGAAGGCTTGGGTAAAACCCTTCGACAACTCCTTGGAACGAATGTTGCAAAAGGTTCAACATACTCCATATCAATTAGATTCAATTAGCCTGTTCTCCAGGTGTCCGTCTGTGGGATCCGCACGCATCCAAAACGATGGGATCATTGCCTCGACGCCTGCGCGGATCTTCGGTCCGCACACGATCACCAATCCAAAAGCCAAGAGTCGGCATCGGTGCCTGGACTGCTGCCGGGCTAATGCTGAACCAAAGCTCTCGCGGTACAATGCTATAGCTTCCTCGGTTGGAGCACTCCATGCAAATAAGGGGACCTAAAGGGCCCTTACCTGCGATGCCCTTGTTACTAGTAGCGTCCTTGCTACTAGTAGCGATGCCCTTGTTGCTAGTTCAATATGTTTCATCTCTTTTCAGACCCTTCCTTGGCAGCAGTTGCGGTCGAGCCTCATCTTCTCTCCCAACCTCGCGAACGAAGGCAAAGGTAAGTTTCCCTAAATATCTAGGAACCAAATCATTAGCGCGTGTGCGTGCGCTTCTTCAAGGAAGCTACCCCCGCCACCTTTGGGCGGCGGAGGGAGCTTCCTTGAAGAAGCGTGAGCTATCATGAGCTATCCTGCGTCCATCCATATGTAGTAACTTACTTGTAACATTGTAGGTACTAGCTACCCCAACTATGGCCTACCCCCCCGGCCCCCGGGCCTTGAGTGTAAAAAACTATATACAGTATATATAACTTATATAACTTTACATTCCTTTACGTAATTTAATAAGGAATGACTCCTACGACTCCTCGGGTCCGGCCTCGCAGAGGGCCGCAATTGTCGGCAGCCTCATGTCTGGGTTGACAAAGGACGGGAACCGTTCTTCGATGTCGGCATAGAGCTTCAGAACCTGCAAAAGCAATTCTCAGAGATGCGCCATTTTATGTGCCACCCACAGTCACACAGGCAATCCTTCAACAAAAACTGGCCTCGTCCCACTTTCTGGCCCTTTCACAGGCTGTCAGCACTGTGAGGTAGGCAATGCGATCCTGAGATGGACTTTGCGACTTTTCTTTACGCCTCAATGAGCTAACCACAATACATCCAAAACCTGGACGTGCTTCGGTACAAAAACTGTAGTTGGGACATTGATCCTAATTGGGAACTTGCCAAGTCTATTGAACATCTTTGCGAGGGTTTGTAGTTGTTTGAGAGCGAATGCTGCCCAAGATTTGGGATGCACTTGTCGTGTTGGACGCAGCGACAAGCATAGCAAAACTACAGTAAAGGGGAGCAAAGGTTTAGCGAAATCTGCCCACAGTAACTGGGTGACAAACTCAGAAGTCCCCAAGTCTTTCCAAACTATATAGCCAAGGCTCCAGCTCAGTGCCGTCCCTCTCCATGCTAACCAAGAGCTTCAAAGCCACTTCCCATTTGCCAAGCTGAACGCAGGCCTCTGTCATGGTCGAGTCCATCATCCAACCCGCTCGCGTCCAACCCGGACCTACCCCAATCCAACAGTGTCTTCAATCCACAACTGTCCCAGTCAACTACGCACACTAGCAGAGTCTGGCCTTAAGCACCGCGTTGCAGGTCATGGAGTGAGGGATGATGCCTCGTCCACCCATGGCGGTGGCCAATGATAAGATCTCCCGCCACCGCCCCTCCTGCAATGGACGACTGTTTGTCTGCGACTTTGCAGCGTTTTGCACTCAGGTCGTGATGTGCTGCGTTCACGAGCCTTTTCACACATGCTGATGGCGATGTCGAAGTGGACCTCGCTGAACTTCACCGAAGTGTCTTCAACGAGGCTCTGGAAGGTCTGCATGGCCTCTTGCTACTCCAACACGTGAGCAAACTTGGACATCCCACGGTAGGTAGGGTATCAAACTCTTTTGGGGTCAACTGCAAAGTTTGGACATAGAAGAGGCTTCAAGCATGAAGGAGGCCTTCTCCTTATCTCTCGGCTGCCCTTCTTCACCGAAGAGAGCACGCAACAAATCACACAAGTGATGTTCTTCGGGGGAAATACCTCACAAAGCTTGAATCAAATGACTGCTGGGCTCTTGACAATCGCATGAATCCGAACACTCAAAAGGAATAGGCATCAAGAGATTCAGTGGACGGCAGTGAAATCTTACGCCTGAAATATACTGAAGATATATACCTAAACACTCAGATTCTGCGTGAATATGCACATCTGCGTGTGCGGGTGCGTGGCGTGGCGGGGCGGGGCGGGCCGGGCCGGGCTGGGCCGGGGTGCATGTGAATGCAAGTGGAAAACGGGACAGTTCCAAGGTCCAAGGGTGGTGAAAGGATTGGTTCCTGACACTATCAGGAAAGGACTAAGGCGCCATTCTCCCGCATCTGGACATAGAGATCGTAGCAGCGCTCGTGGTACTGTGAGTAGGACAATCCTGTGCCAAAATTTGACCGCAAACAAGCTTGCAAGAAACACAAGTTCAACATTACCCATTTTGCCAAAGCACCGTGCATGACGGTTCTGTAGCACGAGGAATTCAGCTGCACACCGTCCACCTGAACAGGTTGTCAGAAACCATCATAAATTCTTGCTGGAACGCAATCAGCCAAAAGCCTCGATTGAAATTTTGGATGCAAGCACCAGGGCACCGGAAATTGACAAATCAGCTATGAAAAAACAAATGTTTATGGACATAGAGAGAGAGAGGAGAAAAAAAAAAGAGAGTTTCAAAAGCAGCACTGGTCCATCCTGGAATTCACGAGCTCCTTGCCTGCATCGCATCCAAAAGTGTGATGATGTTCTCCTCGGATCACTGGACGACCGCTCCTCTACAATCTACAAACCTGACAAACCTGTGACATCTTTGATATACCAATAAGCTTCCCACCCACTTCTTTCTGCTGTTGCAGGAGCCTAAAGCGAAATCGTAGGTGTGCCTCGGAAGGAAGCAAAGTACTCCATTGTCAAATCGTTCATCAGATCTGCACACATGCGCCGGCAAAAACAGCACTTCCCATGCAACCAAAATGGCACGGGCGTTCAACAAACTATCGTCATCAACCAACCATTAGTATCGGGAATCGGCAAATATGTTTTATGTATGTATGTATGTGTAAATATATATATATATGCTAGCCCCCCCCCCAAAACCCACCTTGCACCACTTGAGTGGGAAGTTTTCAGTACAGTCTTGTGTTGTACCATAAGGTTAACATGTTGAAACCTTGATGTAGAGATGACAGCTTTGCAGATAATAAGCAGAATGTTATATAAGCAGAACCTTGCACCACTTGAGTGGGAAGTTGTGAGGAAAGTCTTGTGTTGTACCATATGGTTAACATGTTGAAACCTTGATGTAGAGATGACAGATTTGCAGATAAGCAGAACCTTGCACCACTTGAGTGGGAATTTTTTGAGGAAAGTCTTGTGCTGTACCATATGGTTAACATGTTGAAACCTTGATGTAGGGATGACAGCTTTGCAGATAAGCAGAATGTTGCGCCAGAAGGTTTAAGGTTTTTGTGGCCTTGAAGCTGGACTTAGAGATGCCAGCTTTTGCAGATAAGCACAATGTTGCACCAGAAGGTTGACTTTTTGTTGCAAACAGAACAGACATGCGCCAATTTTCCCCAGAGGCATAGGTCGCTGGCTCAATTGGCCTTGACACTTAATGGCGACAGCACCTTACTTGATTTCAGTAGCATTTGACATTCCAGACGTTGGCAAAACAATGCAAAATCCCAACATGCTTCCACATGACTTGTCCACAGAAGGTTGGCTTGCAGAGTTCCAATAAACGTACAAGGTTTCGACATGACAGTTCCCTATTCCACTCTACGAAGACAGGTTGTAAGATTTTTAAGATGTATACTTCGGTGTAAAATGTTTACTTTGGTATGACGAAAGTGCTTTAATATAACTATTTTGATTTATGTGCATATATAAAAAACAAATGTATATATATATGTATATATTGAGACTTCAATGTGTCAATATATTGAATATATTGCATATTTTCTTATACATAAAAAATTACTGTGCCCTACGGCTTACCCTAGTCGCTCTGTCTTTAGTGAGTACTTGTCCTTTTATTGTATCCTCGTTCTCCCCTAGCTCTCCACTGACTGTTTGTCCCCGTGCGGTCCCCTCATTGTCCCCTTGCTGTCCCCGGATTGTCCCCTCGTGGTC